AGATCAGCACCTGCCCCTGCTCTTCCCCTTGTGAAGAAATTACAGACCATGATGAGATCTCATCTCAGTCTCAATAATCCAAGCGACTTCAGCCTCTCCTCATACAGCTTCCCCTAAGCCCTTCACCAATTTGGTGATCTCTCCCCTGGACACGCTCCTGTAGCTTTAGATGCTTTTTATACTGTGGCACCCAAAACTGCACACAGTGCTCGAGGTGAGTCAGTGTTGCCCTCCTTTAAAAAAACCCCCCAAAACCCCAAAAGTACCTTAAGGCTGAATACATCAGTTACATATTTTCAACTTACAGATAATAATACCAAATTAGTTACCTTATAAAAAAAAAAAACAACAAAAACCCCTTAAACAAACAAACAAAAACCAAAAAACCAAACCAACAACCACCTTGATGATGCCACACTGAGGCATAGAGTAGAAGTTTGAAAAACCCCACATTCGTGCATATCCACTACTGAGAGACAAAGTTTTGAAAGATGAAACGACCCTGTCACATCACGAGCTCCAGCAATTCCCTGTGCAGTGAGGTCAGAGAAGTCCACCATAGGACATGAAGCTAATAAACATATTGAGAAGACAGAAGTTACCAGGGGGTTATGCCACAGCATCTCAGGTAACATCCCAATGGCAACAAGATGGTTTTCACTAAACTAAGTACTTTAGAAATATACGATGAACAAAAGAAAAAGTTGGTACACTTCTCTAGCAAAAACCCGTAACATTTGGGAATTATTCCATAGCTTTCAAATACTTAAGTGCTATTAAGTGACTTGAGAGAGCACAAACCCCATCTGCCTGCTAGCTGCCTCAGTTTGCTTTCTGCACATCAAAACAGTAAGTTTCAAAGGCCTTCAGTTTACTGACCAGCAATTAGCACCTGCAATTTGCATATTCAAAACAGATTTATGAGAGCAAGAAGACAAATTTGGCAAGTGTCTCTTTTTTAAACAAACCAGAGTGAAGACAGGACATTTATTTTAACAAGACTAAGATTTAATTTTTAAAATTTGACATTTAATACAAATAGGTCAGGATAACACAAATACACCTGAAATATGCCAGTGTCTGAACTTATTTAACATGCAAAAAAATCAATTAGAACACATAAAAAACCCAACTATAAGTTGTAATTTTACATTTATACATCAGAAGTGTCCATTTTAAGAAGTTGAAATAATTAGTCAATAACATCTAAATACTGATTTATACTCCTAGAACATCTGTATGCTCAAAGCAATAATTCTATATTTGCCCACAGTCTGTAATGACAATTCTTCCATGTACTAGCCCTTTAGGAGAACCAAAGGATTCAATCTTTTTCACAACATCCATTCCATCTTTCACAAACCCAAATACCACATGCTTGAAGTCCAAGTGTTCAGCTTTTTTAAGTGTTATGAAGAACTGAGAATTATTTGTATCCCTGCCCTTATTTGCCATTGACAACAGTCCAGGACCAGTGTGTTTCACTTCAAAATTCTCATCTTCAAACGCTGTTCCATAAATTGACCGGCCCCCTGTTCCATCATGGTTTGTTATATCACCTCCCTTTAAAAAACAAAACAAAACAAAACAAGTAGTATAGCATTAACTTACAAGTCCCAAAACAAACCAACAGCACAACTGTATTCAAATTCAACAGGAAAGACTTTGCTTGGTAACGGAAGCATACTGGAAAGTTTATCCCTCATTTATTCTGAATGCCGCATTTGTCTTCCTATTCCACAAGGTGAGCACTCCTCTAAGTCTGTCTTTCCCACAGCCTGCTTGGCCCAAAAAGCTGGGGACCTGCTTTATCTCACTGAAGGTCTGTCCTTGCTTAGTCCCTGCAGGCACAGAATTGATCGCCTAAAAAAGGTTAAGGTGCCAATGATCAGTAATTTCTTGCTCCTGTGCAGGCAGCAGTTTTTGCCACATCACTGCTTGTTCAGGAGGGCAGCTACTGCCAGTGAGGGGTGTCTTTTGTCTTTCTGCAAGGCAGCAAGCTTCTGGCTCCTGATTATTTGACTATACTCACAAAGGTGACAGTACAGGTTATCTTATCTTTGAAGGAAAGCCTTCACTCTCATTGAAAAGCTTCTCACTGTACCTGGAGAAAGTTTAGGCAAAGCAGAGCAAACTGAGAATATACTTATGTCATAAAAGCTCACTTTTCATAAGGTTATGCATGGTGCAGTTAGCTGTTTCAAGAGACTGCTCCTCACAGGATGTGGAATACACTGAAACAGGCTTAAACCCTAAATGAGCAACACTGCTTTCCTTATCAGAAAGTACAAAGTTTTAAAGAAAAAAGCCACAGAGGGGATGCTTCACATACAGGTGATACCTCATCAAGACACTGGATAATTTTTTTATTCTGGTGACAAGTAGTAGAAGGTTGTGTTTCATCTTCAGGGATGCAGTGACACATAGGAGCACTGATGTAGTGTTTAAGGAAGTTGTTTCATTCTACCTGTTACAAGTCACTAAAACTCACATTGAATTATGAGAATTTTAGGAAAGAAGGTCAGGTCTATCTGAGCCATGATCAATCTCCTAAGCCTTCAGCATCAGTGAAGAACTTGCTAGAGCTACCGAATGCACACAGAGGTTTAAAACCAACACTATAGACAGTGGGTTCAGATGCGCTGCAGGCTGATACTCTCACTGAAAAATCTGAGTATTTTAAGGAACAGGCTACTGCATGATAATGGGATCTAGAAGACTTCTTTTAGATGGAAACTTGAGTATTTGAAGTATTAGGAATATCAGTTTTAAAGTGCTCGTTAACCTGAAATACAAAGTGTATTTTAAAATGCAAGAGAAGCTTGGAAAGTAAGTGTTCTTAGCAGGTCAGCATACAGAAGTTCCTCTCTGTAGGGAGGGAAGGCTGAATAGTAGTTTTGGGAACCCCTGTTTTCCCCATTGTAAGAGAAGACTGCTATCTCCGTTTTTTCTTCCACAGTAACATGGCAGCACTAGGTAACACTAAAGCATCAGGCAGCTGACAGACACAGGTAAAAAGCATTTGGCTTAGGGCAGCATGTGCTGCTTGCATCATTTCTCATCTCCTTGCAGGAAAGGGCAGACCAGAGCATCTTGCGCGCTGGATTCACACTGCCAACAAGCATGTGCTGTCTGTCCTGTATAAGTGATTTTTTGAAATGCCATTGTTAGTCAAGATCCATCTTATTCTCTCCATGAAGAGTCTTCCCGTTATGCTTACCTGACACACAAAGCCAGTGACTATTCTGTGAAAGCTGGAGTTCTTGAATCCAAATCCTTTCTCTCCTGTGCACAAGGCCCTGAAATTTTCAGCAGTTCGAGGGACGATATTTGAAAACAGCTCCATGGTTATGTGTCCCAAAGGTTCATCGTCAGCAGAAACTTCAAAATACACAATGGGGTTGGTATCTTTTGACAGTCCTGCTGCCAGAGACAAGTGTCCCTTCTGTAGTTCTGACAAGTTCATCTGGCATTCTTCAAACCTCTTCTTGAAAGAATTAGCCATTTCTTGGCTTTTAAACCTGACTGCAAGTTGTTCTACTTTTACTTCACCATCTGAAAAAAAAATCAAGAACAGGTTTCTTTAGTTCTATTCAGTATAGTCATAAATGAGTAGCTTTCATTTTATATGGTCTCCAGGGAAAAACAAAGCCACAGAAACTACACACCACCTAGAAAAAACAAAAAACGCCTGAAAAACTCACCAGCATAATCTATGGCTGTCCAAATTAAAGCGTTGTTTGATGTATCAGAGGGCACCAAGTTCATTTCTTTGGTGATGACATGGTTTGCACAGACTTTAAGAACTTGGTCCCTTCTCATTAGGACTCTATAGTATTTCTTTTGCGTATGGAAGAGGATCTTTATCTCTCCAACACCACGCTCCTTCCACTGAGTAGCATCTCTGTCCCATCTGTAAAGTTTTGCCCTCTCTTTGAAGAGAATTTCTTCATCTTCTTCTCCAGATTTTACCTCTACCTAAAAAACAACACAGTAGAGTACCTGTGATTTCCCAGAGAGCTGCTGTCAGCAACAATATTGAATAGCATTGCACACACTTACGATGATTCTGACATACTGCAATGGAAAATTATTCAGTGTGTTCCGTTCTCCAACACTATATTCATCGCACACCAAAATGAGTTAAACGCCTCGCCTTTTCCAAATTTAAGAGACCAACAAATTCTGCTGTTTCAGAGTGATTATAGCACTGCAAAACTACAAAACTACTTCATCATGCTGCATATGGTTTTTGGAGGGTGTAGGCTTTACTTTGGGGATGAGGGTTTTTGTGGTTTACTGGTTTTGGGTTTTTTTTGTTGTATGTTTCTTTGTGGTCCTGTCTGACCTACCCCCCCCCCACCCCCCCTTCCCCTTTAAAAAAAAAAATCCCATTATCAAGTCTGGCAAGTTTCCCAGGAAAGTTTCAGGTTTGCTGGATGATGTGCACAGAGAGAAGTGAAGTACTACTACCATTCCAGGTGTTACCTTTTGAACATTTTTAAATAACTTGATTATTTATGTCTGAACAGAATAAACACCAACTGAGTGTAACCAACTGAGGCCTGCCAGGCATATCTCCTCCTCGCTTTACGTATGCATATTTCTGGCCTCTAACCTCTTTTAGTTAAGACATCTTCTGAAGATAGGGAACACTTGGGAGGACTGGAGAAACACATGGCAAACAACCGTTTGTGGAGGGAGAAGTGAGACTGAAGAGAAGCAGCAAGTAAGGGGAGAACACAGATGAGCAAAGGCATGCAAAATTTTGAAGGTGGCTGAAGGCACATAACGAGCTACATCAGATTTCCTGTTCAGATTTAAGGACACTGCATACTGTTTATTTATGCTTGACTTGTCTTGCTTAATAGTCAAACTAATCTATAATTAAATTACATTATTTATAGGAAACCCAGAAAATATGATTATAACATCAAAAAGGTTGAACTGGTTACTAGGCACACTAAAACTATATATCAAATCAAGACACGAACAACTGTGTGAAGCCTCACTCAGTAAGTTACAAGGCTACCTGCAAAGCTGAAGCTTCTCCTACTTCTTGAAAAACAATTTATTTTCAAAGTAACAAAGTCAGTTCCCTTAGCCTTCAGGTGAGGTTAACTGTACTACATCTTTATTGCTTAGTGATTCTAGAAATCTCTTGCCTAGCTTAGAGTAAAAATTTTAAGTTGGCATGGCGTTCACAGAGCTGAACCTACAAGTCACAGACACAAACCCACCACTGGGTTGTATTAGCACTAACAGTTACTCAGTTCCCCCTCTTGGTTTGCAACTGTACTATAATGAGTCAGCTTTAGCTTTTACAAGTTACATGTACAAATTTGCAGAACAAAGCACACAACACGGAAAGCAAAGACAATTAGGCAAAGCATTTTTTCAAAACTTGCTGTGTTAGCTGGCATGCTTATCTTAATGTTATTTCATATCCCAGAAGCCCCCTTACCTCTGGTAAGGACACAATTGGCTCAAAGTGGATATCATCACTATGTACCACCTCATCATCGCTACCACCTTCATCTTCCTCTGCTTTACGCACTGTCTCTCCAAACACAGCTGCTCCTGTATTCGCCCATTTGAAGTTTTTATCTACAATTAAGAGATTTACATTTTGAACTTTTTGTAGTTTTTCCTTACAGATAAAAACTTGCAAAAAACGGTTGTTAACTGATCAATCAGTAGAAATTTAGTGCATAAAAGGTATACTGTTTGAAGCAGTAGTCCAGCTAAGTGTCTGTCTCAGAGACTAGTTTAACTCACCTTTTGAGCCAAAAGCAAAGTCTCCTGAGTTTTTGGAAGCCAGATCTGCAAATGACAATCCTGCAGTATTGCCAAAACCAAATGAGATGATGCTGTTTTCTATCAAATAAGAAGGGAAAGTCAAAGGCTTGGTTTTGTTGTTGTTATTTTTTCCTCTGTCATTCTTAAAGAAATTGTATTTGATGTTATGTAGTCACAAGAATAAACTGGAGAAGTATCTATGGAATTTTTATCTTCCAATAAATTTAAAATTTGCATTCTACTTATCATGACAGTCACTTACTATGGTTAAAAAAAAAAAGAGGTCAAGACTGTGAGACTGTGCAGATACACAGATCTCCAATAAGTATTCATGCAGTATTTAACAGTAAACTAATAAGCAAAAGTACATAACATATAAAACATGCAAAAGACACTACCATTTTTCTGTAATAGTGCCATTTGAACAGACCAGAATGTGATGTATATAGTTATTTTAATCTCCAGTCACATTTTTACTAGATTGGTACTCATCCTTCTAACTCAGTACTGGTACTGCTTCTCTCCAAGGCAGCAACTACATGAGATAAGTATGCTTTTCTGTAGATTAGTTTATGTTCTTACAAAAAAACAGAACATACCCCTGACTTTACCTTGTGTTGACTGTGAACAGTCTGAATCACTTTTTTTAGCTGACAAGTCTACAGGTTTGTCATCAACTGCTGCTGAAGTCTGCGACACGTGCACAGTTTTTGTGGTGGAATCTGGTTCTTCGTTGTTGATAGCTGACTGGACAAATACTGTCACCTCACCAGTTGACGAAGCAGATACTTCTTCCTTACTGGTGGAGGCTAGGTCAGTTGAACTTGTAACCTCATTCTCCTGAGATTAATAAAAAATAAAAGTAATAAGCAAATAAGCCAGAACAACCTCAGGAGACTAAGAACAGTCATTCTAGAAAAAAGGAACACCAAGAAAAATCGTGGTTGTAAGCTTTCTGAAGTTTTCCATTACACTTAACACATACTGGGCATTGACTTGTCAAGAAACTGAAGTATCTTTGAAATAGTATGCTTTCAAAAAAATACTATTGCTTTCTGAAAACAATTAGTCCTTATAAATACCTACTAGGGGTGATTTTACTAGCCAAAGCAGATTATACTTTATAAGAACAGCTACACCTCCTTTCTCTTCCCAAGGAACTTAAGATCTAAACTTCTATTTCAGTGTTGGCAAAGCCTTGAGGCACAGCCACAAGAGAGTCAAATAGTTTTTCCCCACTGGATGTTTTGGTTCTCACAAGGTGAAAACTACATAAAAATCTCACATGTACACAAAGTAATTTTGTTAGTTTAGTATCAATAAAGATTAGTAAAGATTTAGTTCTTACTTGTGTTTCTTGAATTTTAATTTCTGTCTGAACATCATCTGGACTGTCATCCTCAGTATCACTGCTGGCACCACAGACAGATGCAGACGGAACCTGCAGAGTTTCTGCTTTAGCCTTCTCCTCAAGAGTTGTCTGCTTTTCACAAGCAGTATCACACTCTCTTTCACTGTCGAATTCACATTTTCCTATGATGCCTACTGCAAAGAAGAAAAATTAATGGAAAATAACTGCGAAGGCAGCTAAACACTGCAGTAGTTTTTGGTACCTACATCATAAAATAATCTCATGATAGCCAGAGCAAATTAAGTAAGACTTCAGGAGTTTTTTGAAACAGCATTACTGTTCAAATAGTGGAAGTGAAGACTAACTTACTTAACTCGGGGTGACTCCTCATACTTTGTTTTCTATTGCTATCAGAGAATTTCCATGCAATGAAGACTTCAGTCTTGCAGCTGCCACTACTACTAGGTTCCTTCAACATCTGCGTGTATTTCAGGTGGCTCAACACATACTACCTCTTTCTAGCACGTATCTTAAAAAAAAAAAAGATCCAAACCCCAAACTTCATTTCTAGAAGTATCTACCCAGGTTTTCAGTTATGCAACACTGAAGTCTGAGGCACAAAGTAGACAAACATAAGCAGCAAATTCTACACCTGTGTTTTTAGTACAAAGACCATTTTTAATTGAGCAACATTAACTCATAAGATTAATTTGAATTTACTATCTGCAGAAGTAGCAAGTATTCACAGAGGCAGACAAGTTTTGTCTTGTACAGTATCATGCCAAGCTGAATTCTTCATAATCAGAAGGGGCTCAAGGCAAAAAGACACTGATGTTCTTGTTTAGAAGCTGCCTGAAATGTACATTTTTAATTCAGGTACCACTTTACTGCTAACTAGAATTTCAACATACTGAGCTTAAAGCTGTATTTTCAGATGCAGCTCTTCTGCTTCCAGCATCAGTGTTCTTAAAAAACTATCTCAGAAAACATAAAATTAATCTCAGTGCCCAAGTGCCCCTCAGATTTAGAGCTTATGTTTCAGTGTGTAAGCGTTGTGTTTTAAGACATACCTTTTGAAGGATCTTGCAATTTCTTTTTCTCTTCTGAATCACTGGGATACAGTCTACCATTAAGTTTCTTAACAGCTGTTTCATAGTCTTCATCTTAAACACAGGAAACAAGCATAAGTTCTCGGGCATCTTTTCAGTACAGAGAAGGCTGACAAGCCCTTCCAACTCACAAGCCTAGCAAGCATGCAGAATTTTTGCTTACATTTGAAGAGTTCCACAGGTCAGCAAGTAAGCTTTCACTTCCTATTCTGCATATGTGTGCTACTGATGCTTTTCTCAGCCTAGATTATTATGGATGCTTGGCACAGGTTTTGTTTTCAGAAATAATATTTCTTATTGAGTTATTTATATTAAAAGTACCACTAAATAGAACTGGGAAGAAAGACTGAAGATCTTTTATATAAACACTAGCAAGTTCAGATAATTTGTGGGAGGGTACTTGTCTTCTCCCATTTTCTTTTGAATACAGTGCTTCAGAACCTCCATTTAACATATTTGCTGCTAAATGAATTAAGAGTAATTCAGTTGCACACAATAAGATTTGATATATTTCCAGTTTTAGTGTTAGGAATTTGCTTTAGAAGAAAAATAAGCCAGTCGTCTAGCACTTAGAGAACCTGAGCATGTTCCTTTTTGAAAAGGACTGCCTCATATTTGTCTCTCAAAATAGTTACAGACGTAAGCCTCTCCCTTAAATGAGACTAGGCTAAAGCACCCGATTATTTAGTCTTACCTAACCAACTGCATTGGTAATACCAGTGTCAGCACCCATAAGACACCAATACAAATTCCCTTCAGTTGTTCTTGGGCCTTCACTGTACTATTCTGTCTTGAAGACCTGAGCACACATCTTTGTCCATAAGGAGCATGACAGTATTAGTTCCCATCAGTCCAAACAAAAATATTTGAACGTCTCATGGTTCTGATAGTATTAATAGAATTACAGAATATCTCAAGTTGGAAGGGACCCATAAGGATTATCAAATCCAACTCCCTGCTACTTGCAGGACTACCTAAACTGTATGACTAAGACCATCATCCAGACGCTCCCTGAACTCTGACAGGCTTGGTGCTGTGACCACTGCCCTGGGGAGCCTGGTCCAGTGACTGACCACGCTCTTGGCGAAGAACCTTTTCCTAAATGTTCAATCTGAACTTCCCCTGACAGCTACATTGCATTTCCTTGTTTCCTGTCCCTGGTCACCAGAGAGTGGAGATCAGCACCTCCTCCTCCGCCGTCCCCCCTTGAGGAAGCTGTAGACTGCGATCAGGTCACCCTTCAGCCTTCTCTACTCCAAGCTGAGCTAACCACCTGACCTCAAGGCCTTTTACCATCTCGGTCACCCTCCTCTGGACACACTCTAATAGTTTCATGTCCTCCTTATATTGAGGCACCCAAAACTGCACACAGTGCTCAAGGTGGGGCCTCACCAGTGTGGTGTCTTACACCCTTTCCCCATAGAAAGGCAACACAAAGATCAACTTTGGCACTCCTTACCATCATCCTCGTCACTCACATATCCAGGCTTATTCTTGTAACAGAAGAATGTTGAAGGTAGCTTGAGAAAGCCAGCGAGAGCTCTCTGTTCAGGGGTAGGTGTTAACTCGTAAACTATTATAACCTCATCAGACGGAAGATCATCTTCTGACATTGTCGTCTTCTCAGCTTTTTACAAAAATTGAACAAACCATTAAAACTGAGTAATTTCAGAACAGGGAATAACATTAACTCCACTCAGCCATTATTACAGAATTGAGTTAATTCTAAGGCAGCTAGAAATACATTTGTAACCTACATATTTCATTACATATTGATCCCCAGGAAACAAAAATTTACAGGATGCTAGGACAGAGCATCCTGTTAAAACTTAAGACACATTAACCATATATCAACTATATCCTGTTCTATTGCCTTTGAAATTCCAGTATCAGAACAGAAACAAGTCTGCCTCTTTATATTGTTACAAGGATTATTTAATTAAATCCTCACAGCAAACAAAATACGACTATGGAGGAGAGGGATATAGGTGTCCTCTAGAGGTAGAGAGGCAAACTTCAGGCCTGAAAAAAGAGGAAGAGAAGCTGTCTACAGCAACATGTCCTACAGAATTGCGTAAAAGTGCTTGAAGTTCTAGAAGATATTAAACAACAACTGAACAGAACTTACTTCAGATTACCTATGGGAAATCTGAGCTTTTTATTAGCAAATCTCAATTTACCCTAATAGCTGTTGCTGAAATTTTTGTTGTTACAAAAGTAATCTTTAGTAACATTTCGTCAAACAACAAAAACTATTGCTTTCAGCTTATTTAACTAGCTTTTCCAGTAAGGACAAATACCACTACGAATTTTATTACAGATCTTTTCTCCTCCTTCCTTCAACATTCTCTATTCCACTTGTATTGAAAAAACAGTGCACAATCAAAGGTTAAAGGTGAAAGCACAGCCTAAAGCAAACTGCAGAAACACATATGGCTATAAGAACAAGCAGACAGATTGGGAAAAAGATCTGAGTTTATTATGAAACAACGGAAGCAAAGAGGGAAGATATGCTATTTTAAGCATCAGGTATTGTTTGGTTTGGGCTTTGTTTGTTCAGATTGGGTTTCAGTGTTGTTTTGAGAGGGGGAGTTTGGGGTTAAAGGTGTGAGAAACAAATCTGTTAACTATTTGTAAGAATCACCCTATAAGCACATCATTATCCATGCATCAGCTGTTTCTAAGAACAATCTGATTGCTTTAGTAAGTCAATCTATTCGTTAACATTCTCCAGGTTTGAGTTCAACTAGTCAGCAGAATTTGAAGGCTGCTTTCAAAAGCTCACTGTCCTTTTCATTAGAAAATATTTGCTAACTTTGTGGCACAATGTAGTCAGTGGGAACCTAAAGCTTCAGCTAGGAACCAGACTGCTACTCAGTTCCTGAGAACACAGATTTTCCTTCTCACACACTTTGATATTCACCATTGCAAGAGGAGACAAGGACAGAAGTGTAATGTTTATAGAAATATCCCTTGATCCTCTGACACAACTGAGACACTAAAATAAATCTGCTTTTCAAAAGTAGTTTTCTCACTAGTATCTTCCAGTACATTAAGAGCAATATAAAAAATAGTAGAGTAAAAGCAAAATCCAAAGTACTACTTCAAATTCAAGTCTTTTTCTGAAGTGTTCCCTCCTCAATCTTTGCCCTAATTGACTCTCCCTTTGATTACAAGTTAATTTCAGCCATTCATATACCAGAGTGTAGCTCAAACCCATTACCAGCACATAAAGTCTTGTAGAGTAATACTTTTTGCTCACTTTTAGATCTTATTAGCTCTTCTGAGTCTGTATAAAGTAAATGTAGGATAAGATTCTTGAACAGCAAATCTCTAAGTTCATATCGTGACAGCAGTCTACAGATGTTTTCATTTATTTTCTCAGAATCATATGCAAAAAGCTCAGTAACCCTAGCTGATTTAAGAATCAGGAGTACATCTAGTACCATGTTATCAAGATATGTAGGTATCCTGCATATTAGCATGTGTTTTATTCACTCAGATTAGTTAAGCAAGTATCTCAGTTGGACTGAGTAAGATTGCACCAAGTTCACCACAGAGGTTTAAGTGTGGAGTATTTAGTCTTACAGCCATTGAAGGTTACATCAAGAAAACCCAAGCTTCCTCCTTAGGATTAGAGAATTCTCAAAAATGTATCTTCAATAACAACAACAAAAAAGTTCCACAATCAGTCAGGTAGATAGTAAAAGTGTGAGCTTTGTTTAACTTGAGCAGCATAAAGCTAGCTAGAAAACCCTGGTAACAGAGGATATATATAGTCCATCATATTCGACAGACAGCATTCACAAAGAACTATGGTGCAGCCTCTTTCAGTTGCCTTTGTGCAAAGTAGCTGAATAACAGAAATACATTAAAGTCGCTACAGATTAATCCACAGTTCTCCATGAAGCTGATCTACCAAACACTGGATTAAGATTCTAGTGTTCCAAACATCCATTCAAAGCGACAAAAGGGTTCAACAACAACGATTAAGATTACAACATATATTTGCCCTCAGAATGTTAAGACTAAGCAAGATGTTCACTGGTTCAGTTAAGTCAGTTCCTACTCACCCCCCCCACAAGAAAGTTAACTTTTCCTAATAAAAAATGCTGCAGCTTAAATGTATTTTTACAGGCAGCGATGAAAACAAAGAGCCAGGCATAGATACAACATATTCTTAAAATACTGTTGGGTTTGTGAAGTAGAGAACTTTCTACTTAGGGGAAAAAATCCACACAAAACATTGTTAGTACAAGTAATTTTGCATGGAGATGCAGAACTACTATGAGGTTAAATCGCTTTTGAATGTTGCTCTAACACAACTCGGAAGCCACTTCCCAAAAGATGTTCCCCATGAGAAAGCCTCAGATTATATTTGCGTTGTGTAGGCTGGAGAACCTAATTTAGAAAGGATTTCTCAAAGTCATTTGCAATTAAGTCAGAGCTCAAAACAAAGCCACCAGAAAGCTACACTGAAGACAATTATCAACTGTAAATAAATCATTAAGTATATAATCATATCCTAGTTATCAGAAAAGTAGAAGTGTGGAACAGTCTGAAGTACCAGAAAGGCTTGTTTGGTTGCGTTTTTTTAACTACACATACGCACCCTCACACACACCAAATATTAAAACAGAATCAACTTGAGGTAGCAACAGTTCTTGCATGTACGCATTGGCATAGAATACTTAATCACTTCCCATTATGGGCATCAAATGATGAAAATAAAATGAATTGTTAGTAAACATGCAGAGGGATGCTTAAAAACAGTTGACTTTACATTATATATATAGAACAGGAGTTCAGAGTTTAAATAAGAACAGCTTCTCTAGAAATACAATTTTGGAAAAATCATGTTTGGAATGACATTTTGACGTTTTTAAACAATGTAAGACACTAACATTAGAAGACTGTCTTGTGCAGACTAGAATAAATATTTGCTTTTTAAAATTAAAATGCTGCCAAACTGCGTAAGTCGAGCATGCTTACAGCAAGCACACTTGCAAGAAGCACAGTTAGTAACACCTTATGACATATAATCAAACTATAAGCTGTAACTGTTTTGGTGACAGGTTCAATGTAAACAAACTGGTTACACAGCAAAACCTTTCTGACCAGCTAAGGTGGGCTTCATATTACACATGAAGTATATTACATATAAGAAGTAGCTGAGGAGTTGGCTTTCTCATTTCTGTGTGCTCCTTGTTTTCAAGAGTGCAGTAGTCAACATACTGATAATCAGGAAACTGAATTAAACATTTCCAACAGAGGGGCTAAATGCATTCAAGTGTTTTACTGGATAACCCATCTTGAGCTCTTCAAACATATTTTATTGAAGCAGAAGACTTCAGGTACTAAGAGGTGTATTCTCTAGAAATAGCAAGAATTTAATTTCTTTAGAAAAGGGGAATTTTAGACATCCAGTGTGCACGTTCAGCAAAACTGACAGAGAAGCGCAAGGCAGATACCCTCGGAAAATAAGGCAAACAGAAGCCAAAAGCTTGAACAGGGCCATCCACTGTGCTAGCGCTAGCTCATATTCACATACTAAGAGCTAGAGACATTCTCCAGTAAGAAAAATACAGTAGTCAGACACACAATTTTAAAGTACTCTTCTTCAGCATGCACATTAATTATAAGGATTACTGAGCCAACTGCTTTGCCGCAGCTGGGTTACCATCCATGCCTGCTAAAGTGTTTTTATCACACATTCAGTGCAGTATGTAAATACCTTTACTATCAGGTTGCAAGGAAGATGTGCTTGTCCAAAAGGCCATTGGATTAGATTTAAAAAGGCTAAAATTAAATCCTAAAAAAATAAATTGTTTGGATATAAGTGTTTACCTGGAATTTTAAAAGGGTAAAACAGACTTATCTATGTTCTGGAAGCATTCCACAGTCACAATTCACAGCAGGAAGTTTCACCTGTTAATTCTATGCAAGCTTATCCAACCCATGTGAACAGACCGCAGCTATCATATTCTGCCGTATCACTTTGTTATACTTTAGTTAATAAACAGACAGTATGTTCTCATAATTCTGATACTAGTATGTAAATTAAAAACTATCAAGTGATTAAACAGTCTTGCACTGATGGGAAGCAGCACATGAAGTCTTCAAAGAGAAGTACTCTACCATTAAAATGCTAGTAAATCCCATTCTTCTCACAAAGACACTTCAGCACATTATAGTGGTCACATTGCAGCCACAACTTCTACAAGCGCACCTTTTTCAGACAGTGTCAGAAACCCCACAACTAAAGATGTGATCCTGTGGTCTCCTTCCAGGCTCAGGAAAGAGGCTAACATCTGGTGTTATTCAAGCTACACATCCGAAATTGCAGAGGCCAATAATTCAGACTTTAATCAAATGTACAGAGGAGCTTTAGAATATCGTTTTAGAATAGCCATCGGTTCAATCACAGGGATAATTCAAATTTTAGGTGAAGCATGCATTTGCTGTTCTTACACTTCACCACTCAGAGCAAAGGCCCAGGTACATAAGCTACCAACCCAGTGACCTATTTAAGTCTCAGAAAGTGAATACACAGCTCCTTCTTTAAGCACTTAAGCCTGAGATTCAGGTACAGTACTTCAGAGTTACAGCTCCTCCGCGAAATCCCCTTTCTCACTAATCAACAAAATTCCATCATGCAGCATATAATTATTTTCATATAAAAATGAGTGTGACTTAAAATTCACTCCTTTAGTTGGAACTTGAGAACCTGTGAAGATGTGGACACCTTCATTAGAACTGAAAGAAACTACATATTAACGAGACAGCAGAGTAATAAGTAGCATAGAGATGACTTCTTACTAAGTTGTGTAGTTGAATAAATTACTAGTGCAATTGACTCACCTTTTTCTAGAATTTTAAATGAGAAGTTAGAGGGTCCATCTTGTGCTGAAGTAGGCAAGTTGTCTACCTTGCTGTCTAGAGGCTTCTGAGGTGCACTAGAGATTTTTGGTGGTTCAGAGACTTCCAGTTCTTTCTCCACTGTGTTCTGAGACACTGGAGGATGGTCTTCACTCTTTCTTGGAGGATTGAAGCTGAAGCCAAAGAGAGAACCAGTGGCTGAAGTATTTCCAAACGTGAAGGTCTTTGACTTTTCATTACTAAAAATGCTCTTGACAGATTCAGATCCAAATACAAACTTCGGAGGAGAAACCACTGTTTTTGTTGGTGTTTCAGAAGTGTTTGACACATCTGTGACCTCTACAGTTACATCAGAAGCATCATCACCATGGCTAAGGTCAGTTCTTTCTCTGGTAGTTTCTTCTAGTACAGCTACAGCATTTTTACCACACGGAGACTCCTTCGGTGTGTTGGCGCGAGAAGAAAGAGGTGTTATCAGTGTCTCTCTCTCTTGGGCTTGCTTTGCTTCATCAAAAATCTGCTTAAATGAGTCTGCAACATCTTGCAGCTTGAATCGCACAGCCAGAAGTTCTACTTTCCTTTCCCCATCTGCAAAGTCACAGGCAGTCCACACCCATGCTCTATCAGATCCTTTCATCTGTTGCATATTCATATCTGGTGTTATTCTGTGATTGGCACAGAGTTTTAGTACCTGGTCCCTTCTCATTACTATACGCACTTGTTTGTTGTCGTAGTTCTGTAGTATCTTGATATCCCCAATACCTCTCTCTTTCCACTGATTAGCATCTTTGTCGTATCTGTAGAGCTTAGCTCTGTGACTGAAGACAACCTGCTCATTTTCCTCACCGCTAGTCACTTCCACGAGGTCAGGAAGAGGTACCACAGGTTCAAAGTACTGCCCATCTCTCTCTTCTTCTTGAGTAACATCAGAATCTTCATCTGTGCCTACTGATGTTCTACTCTGGTTCTGTTTGGCAGGAGATTTGGATGGGCTCAATGCAGATTTAAAGCTGAAACTAAAACCTGTGGTAGATTCTCCAAATCTGAACAGATTTTTCCTTACAGGGCTACTTGCAAGAGGCGATGCATAAACTGAACTACTTACACTATCATCCAGTGCTTCTTCACGCAAGTCATAGTTATCCCACTCCAGAGTAGGTCCAGTACTTTCAGCATGTGGCTTTATAACCAGATCAGAAGTGCTGCTGGCACAAACAGAGCTTACATTTTCCTCTTCTGACAGTTTAGCTTTGTCATCCGTCAGAAACGTTTTCAGATCTTTTAAGCCACATTTCATTTCTTCTGCTTTCTGTATAAGCTGAGCTGTTCTACCTGTATCAACAAGTTTATGGGGTGTCTGCAGTGGTATATCTAGTAGCAGCCTCTGACATTCTTCAAACTTCTGTTTGAACTCCTCAGCCTGCTCTGGTGTCTTGAATTTTGCTGCCAGTTGTTCCAACTTCGCATCACCATCAGAGAAGTCATTGGCCATCCACATCCATGCTTTGTCCGAGCCAGACAGCTGTTTCAAGTTCATTGTTGTTGTTATCCAGTGATTTGCACACACTTTCAGGACCTGCTCGCGCCGCATTAATATTCTTACTTTGCCATTAACTTCATTTTTAAGAATCTTCAGGTTGCCTACCCCGCGTTCCTTCCACTGGCTTGTTTCTGGATCGAACCTGAACAGCTTTACTCTTTGGGAGTATAAAACTTTCTCATCTTCCTCTCCTGTAAACGGTTCTACTTTCTCAGGCATCTGAACGATAGGTTCAAAATGGATATCATCACTGTCCTCTGTCTTATACACGTCATCATCCTTCTCACCAAGGTCAGCAGATGTGTTTGCTTTGTGATCCGTTTTAGAAACCTGTGAAGAAAACAGCTTTTCACCTGCACCTGAAAAGCCTTTGAAGTTGGGGTCTTTTTTGCCAAATTGAAAACTTTCCCCAGGAGTACTTTTTGCAAGCTCAGCAAAAGTAAACGTGCTGCTGTTCTGCCCAAAAACAAAGTCGCCTTTCTCCTTGTTTGCAGTTTCTTGAATTTGGAATGCAATTCCGCTATCTGAAGGCAGCTCCTTTTTGTCTTTTTCACCAGTGCTTTTTAAGGAGTCAGTTGGACACTCTTTGGATGGCTCATCTTTCTTAGTGGTATTTTTACTAGGCTCTTGTATCCCAAATTTAAATCCACCTGCAGGCACTGGCATTGAAAAGCTAAATCCTTCCTTTACAGACTTTGCTTCAGTATCAGAAGGAATCTGAAATGTAAATGATGGTGTCTTGCCTTGCTCAGCATGACCAAACTTAAAGCCCTTTTCTAAGAAATCACACTTAAAGCCTGTTCCCAACTGTCCTCCAGCAGGTTCAGACAATTTACTTTTTAAGCCAAAAGCAGGAGTTGATGAAGCATCACCAGCAGGCTTACCAGATGGATTTGGTGTTTGGCAGGCCACACAGGCTGGTGAAGAACCTTCATTCCTCACAAGACAAGTACTACAATCCCACTGCCCTTCCTTTTTAGCAAAAAGGCCTTCAAATCCATTTTTCTGCGGCTTACTTGCCTCAGCAACGGAACCAAACCTGGGAGCAGGGGATGCCTGAACAGCAGGCACAGGTACATCTGGCTGACTCTGTGAGTTAGGGTTCTGACAAGAACGACAGTTCGTATCTTTTGCTTCATTTTGGACTAGGCACACAGAGCAGTCCCACCGACCTTCTTTTTTACCAAAAGCGGTTCCCAGGTCATTTTGAATAGCCTTTGGAGCAATTGCTTGGCCAAATTTAAAGGAAGTTTGTTGACCAGATACCCCTGTGCTGGCTTTGTTTGGATTCTGGCAGGCAACACACTTGGAGGCAGTGGGTTCGTTTCTTGCTGAACAGACACTGCAGTCCCACTGACCTTCCTTTTTAGCAAATGCAGATCCAACTTTGTCCTGCACAGTGTTACTACTGGCTTTGAAACTTGCAGCAGAGTCAGTTAATGGGGTGCCATGTGTTTCCCACATATCTGGATTTGGACTTTGACAGGATACACAATTCTTTGCAGTTGTTTCATTTGGAACTAAACATACTTTACACTCCCATTGGTCCTTCTTCAAGAGATGCTGCCCAAACCCACCAGAAGAATAGGTTTGCGGGGTTTCCTTTCCAAATGAGAAAGCGGTAGGGCCAGACGCAGTTGATGGAGCAGTAAGGCTGCCTTTGCTATCGGATTCACTGCTCACCCCATCTTTTGGGAACTGAAAGCCAAAGTTCAGGGTCCCAGCAATGGATCTGGCAGGCTCCTTGATGTCCTGACTTGTTGCTTCTCTTGCAGCCCCACTACTCTGAGTCACGGATGTGTCAACATTTGATCCCAAGGTTTTTAAAATACTCTGTGACTCCTCAAACTTACTTTTGAAAAGCATTGCTTCCTCAGGTGTTTTAAATCTAATTGCAAGCTGTTCTGGTTTTGGCAACTCATCTGCATAATCTAAAGCATGCCATACAAATGACTTATCTGATCCAGCATTTGGAGTTAACTTCATATCAGTATTTATGTAGTGATTTGCACAGATCTTCAGCACTTGGTCCCGTCTCATTAAGAGACGAAATTTCCCAGATACTTTATGTTTCAGTATTTTCACATTTCCAATACCCCTTTCTTTCCACTCTTTAGATTCTGCATCAAAACGGAAGAGCTTGGCTCTGTTGCAGAAGAATTCTTCTTCATCTTCCTCACCTGTCTTTACTTCAATCTTGTCAGGGAGTGGCACCACAGGATCGAAATGAGGACCATCATCATCCTCATCTCCACCATGGGTGCTTCCGCCCTCTGTTTCATGACTTCTATTGGCCAAATCTGAATTTGAAGTCATAAATATAGGCTTGCTTGGTTCCTGGACACCACACACATCGCTCTTTTCAAAATTCAGGTTTTTGTGTGTATTTTGTCCCATGCTTTCTCTAAAAGAGATGCCTGAAATATGTTTATTGCTAAAATTGAAGACATTTCTTTGACTATTTGTGTGATCGTTAGCTGGTTTTTGCTCAATGTATCTATCATCCTGTAAAGGTTTATCAGACGTCAGAAGACCCAAGAGGCTTTCGCCACTATTAAAAGCTGCATTAGCAGGCTGTGTTGCAACCTGAAGAGAAGAAAAGGTGAAGTCGCCATCGTTAGACTTGAAGTTAGTGTTGAATTTAAAAGTTGTTGGCTGACTTGACGGTGCTGGTAGAGATGTTTTCGATCCTTCTGCTGCTCCTGGCTGTCCAAATTTAGATTTTGGAAATTCTATGACTTTTGATTCTGCAGGCTTTAAAGCCGGTGGTGCAACTGAAGGCTTTGTGAAATAACCTGGTTCAGGCAACGGTGGATTTGTGCTTGCTGGTGGGACACTGTAATTGTAGTAATCGTCACCCCCACGAGGAGAAATGAGTCCAGTAGCAGGAGAATCGAAACGCAGAGGCGTGCCATATATTTCTTGGGAAAACATACAAGCAGAAGTGTTTTGCAGAGGTGGTGTATGCATAGGTTGTTGATAAGCATATATATGCTGCTGAGGTGCAAGTCGGTTCATGCCATAGACAGGAGCCTAAAGAAAAACCAGAGAACAATTGCTTTGCTTATTATTGTAACGTAGAGGACAAAGTCTTAGGCCCTTAGGTCTTAGTAACATGTACTCTTAAAAGCAAGGCATACTTTCATATAAGTTTAAACTAATTTTAACTTAGATTAAACTGATTAGTTGAAATCTTGAAGGGCATCTGAAAACAAGCACTGAAGAAGGGGCACAAGATGAATGGGTTGTTTTTTTATGAAAAAAGCCTTGAAAACCCCATTCTCTTTTGTCATCTACTTTGGGGGAAAAAAAAACCAAACCAAAGCAAAACCAAAACAAACACTTAGGTGCCATCACATATACCCTGCAGGGGACACATACTAACATATACCAGACATATTGTGCTGGCTTTTCCTCCCAAACCCCACATCCCAAAACATACACAGAAAGATAAATTATCAGTTTATCCCCAGCAGTCCAAGTTTACCAAATACTATATAAGGAACTGCAATTACATCCAACTACATATAGAACCAAAAGTAGTCACTCAGCAGATCACTGGAAGTAGCTTAAGGGGATAGATTTGCTCTCACCTTTGTTGGTGTCACATTGGTTGCGGCAGTTCTGAGAAGATACTGAGAGTTATAGGCAGGTGACTGGCTGTAGTAAACAGATGGGCCAGTGGTGGCAACTAAAAAGGAACAGCAGGAAAACAGTTTATACTTGATTTTTTTTGTTGTTTTGAATGGACTCTCCCCAACAATCAGTTTTTAACTTTGAATCATTAAAACATTTCTGCAATATTTTCAGAAGTGTTACTTTGTTTTAGCCAAGCATTTAGATAAAGGTTCAGC